CAAAGTGCATTTTGCATGATAGGTCCCCTTTTAAGGAAAGTTTTAATGGTAATTTAATCATCAGTTTGAAGAGAAACTAAACCCACAATGACTTTATTATATTGCTTAATAACGGAGAATCCATTTAGGTTGTCCTGTATGTATAATTCTATAATAACTCTGCTTTGTGCGTCAGAGCAGCAGCTTGTTCTCCTCTCATGAATAATTGAGTGGCAGCTGTCTGTTGTAACCATAGACTCCATTAGGTCCACTGTGTTTCCTCTGTGTGACCACTTTCACAAAACTCTTTCACTATCAATCCTTAGATCAGTGTCACTCTCCTCGTTCGCTGGTTTGGTTTTTAGATTTAATTTCAGTCATTGGAACTAACTGATTGATTTCTACAGTTAGAAGATGACATTGTTGTGGTCATGAGACAATTAATTGAATTGGAAAGAGGAAGTAAAAACTTGTGGTTGAACTTTTCATACTCGAATGTTGAAAGTACTTAGTATGGCTAACAGATTGACAGATTGGTGGCTTTGGGGGGTCACAAGTCAAAAAGGATTGGGGGTACTAGCTTAATGACCAATTTTTTGTAAATCTGATCAATACCAGTTTTCTGTGGAAAGCTCTTAATGACACTTAACACCCAGAATTCCCCCTAAATCATTACCGTCGCCAAGGAGGTTATTTTTTATTCAGTCCATCTGCGGGATTATGGAGAAACTGAATACCAAATACTGTATAAGTGTTAGTATTGTAGTACTACTGGTACTGAATCTGTTTATGAACTTCCTTTTCCAATCCCTTGTTATTTGCTCAATGGATAAAGTCAAAACCATTATGCTTCATTTGCAATCCATGTGTTAAAAACATGGATTGCAAATACTCAATATTAAAGAACTCTAATCAGATGAGTATATGACCTTGGACCTCTTCCCACATTTTTTCCGTTGACATCAGTGTGCTTGAGAACATTGCCAAAACAGCAGAAAAAGTCTTGGTGTCCAAAGACTTAATTCTGCAGAGACAGGATGAGTTATCCAAACATGACGGCCCATTCAGTCCAATTCAAAGCGTGTCTCTCAGTATTAGAAGTCTCTAATGCTTCTTGTGTCAGAGCCCATACTGCAGTGCATCCTTCTGCACTCTTTCTCCTGCTTGGGTCGGCATTCTGATACTTAACCTTGTACTTGCTCATGAAATGGTTGTGTACGGAAAAATGTCATTTTGGGCCAAAGTGTGTTATGTCATCTGTTTTGGTCACTTTGCCAAAATGACCTCACAGCTAAGCTAAGTGCTGTTCCTGGGGTCTCAGATAAAGACTTTTATTTTCCATTACCTTATCAGCATTGCTGTTTTAAACTCCAAAAGGATTTGAATTAACTATAAAATAATCTGTGTACATTGAGGTTTAGCATTCAGGGACTCCCACCACCTCCCCTCCCTGTCCTACGTTACTCCAAGTAGCCTCCAGAAAAGAGATCAGGTTTCTCTTTCCATCCTCCTCTCTGCTGAGATGCGAGACAATAGGCGACAATTTAGGGATGACCTCAGAGGAGGGAAGAGGGGAAGTGATGGAGGGAGCAGTGGAAGTTTAAGGTGAGACAGAAGGAGAGCAACGCGAAAAGGGACGAGGAGTAAAAACAGACTCTATACTGCAAGACACTAAAGGTAAGCTTTGTATAAATCTGTGGCTTGCTTAGGACAGCATGAATAATTGATTCTGCCAGATGTCGCTCACTGTTACACAAAGAAGCCATCAGATGAGTTTGAGGTGTCTTTTTTGCATCTGGACCGATGGAGTTTTGATTCCAGGTGTGGTAAGGTAAAGGCTGGGCCACAGCAGAATGAAGAATACTGTGTCCTGGAGCAGAGAAAGATAAGCTGTGTTGGTGTGTGTTCATCTGCACGGTGTGTATCTGCGTGATGTTTGAACTCAGAGGACCCCTGCCGGCACAATAGCCAGCTGTCCCCGGGGCCCTGACACATCAGCGTGATCGCAGCAACCCACGGCCACATTCCCTCCAGGCTGGGTGTGGGTGGCGTCTGCAGGAGGAACGCTCTGTGCAGCCTTAGGATACAGAGAGACAGACGAGGGAGAGGAAAATCTAGATGCCTCTAAAGACAGGTATTGTTTGTGTGTTTTTATAGCAAGTGTTGTTATAGTAGGAGTCTGCATTATTGTCCAAGCCAAGGTGTGCCAGTCAGGAAGTTCTTCTACTACTATTGCTTTTTGCCTCCTGACAGATAACAGTCATTATGCCAGTGTCCACTAGAGGTCTTCATCTGTCAAACATAAACATACTGTAGGTTGAAAGAACTAGGGTTGTGATAATTCTTTGGAGGACGGTCTCATAAACCAATATATATAATATTATTGTTCTACAACCCCAATCAAGAGATAGTTTTCTGACTGTGTGTTGATGACTTGTCGTTCACTGATTTGTTTTGATTTGGTGATTTCAATCGGATATTTGACTTTTTAATACTTCAAAATAAGTGGTAGACGTATTCCAGTTCACTTTTCCTGTGTTTGGGGTTCTGGCTCTTAACTCCATGACCTGAGAGAGTGTGTGTAGGAGGGTTTACTTTAAAAGCTCAGGTGTGTGTGTGTGTGTGTGTGTGTGTGTGTGTGTTGTCTTTACTCTGTCTGGGACTTAAGTAACCCCCTCAGGTCACAGGCAGTTCATCTTCAAGTTCAACGCTGCAGTTTTAAAGCTACCCGGTATGGTGAAATTGCACTATACTGAGACGCTGCACAGAAGAGCTGGGTACATTTAATACAATTGTTGTTTGTCAAGACATTGTTCCACAGCGATGCCTCGAATATGACATATTTGATTTGTCCCTGGTTGTCCTGAAACAACAGATGCAGCTCAATCTTTTTTTAATGACGTAAAGACGAATCATTAATTGTCCTATTTGTAAGTAAGTTTTAAATATTGCCATTCTTGTTTAATACAAAATGGCAAAGTACAATGCAGAAATACAGTGGATGGAATCTAAATATTTTATTCTAATGAAAGTTGCTTGGTCAGAAGTGCAGGCCCCGCCTCCTGCAGGTGATAATGATATGGACCAATAGGCAGGCTTGGATAGCTGAAGAGTCATAGTGCTGTGCCTCAACCAGCCGCCTCACTATCTGCTAAAAAAAGGTGCTACGCTAAGCCTTTAAGCTTCTTTAAGTCACGCAACTCTAATTCATTAGCAGGAAAGGAAACAGGGCACGTCTGAACAAACCAATCACTGCTGTTCTTCTGGTTTAGCCCCGCCCTATGCGAGTGTATTGTTCCTTATCCTGAAGAATTGATGAATGCAGTGTTGTGAGTCCTCTTAATCTGAAGTGACTTTTGACAGTGATTGATTTTGATCATTTGCGTTCATTTTCCATAATTAGTTATCAGTATTTGCCATTAAAAAATGTATTTAGACCAGAAAGAGAACGTTATACGGTTAGAGTAGGACTATAGAGATGAAATGTCATCCTAAACACTGTATGATCAAGAATGGCGGTTTGATTGGCACCCCCCCTGGTGCCATGTCCTTCCTAATGTGATTTGAGTTAGCTTGCATTAAGGTTACGTGCCCTCGCCTGGAGTTGTCATGTGCTCTGCCTGGAGTGGCAGCTCTGTATTTATAGCAGGGCTTTCTTAATGTCCTCCCTTGTTATGGAGACACAGAGCTCGCTGTGTACCTGCTGTTTTGAGTCTGGATTATGTCCTGTCTGCGGCAGAAGGAACACATCTTAAACATGCGGTGAAAAGTTCTGCTTCTTCCTACCTTCTTCTTCCCTGTTATCTGGCTTTGTGTTTGGACCAGTGCAGGTGGATAAAGAAAGGGGAGGGTCTGTAATTTAAGACATGGAGCTCTTAGCGAGCACGGTTGACGGCCACAGAAGATAAACACAGAGACAAAGGCAGAAGAGTGCAGAGGGAAGCCACGGACATGTAGAATCAGGGAGGAGGAGACTCTCCGGCTGAGTGTATGAACTCTGTGGTTATGTGTGTGAGTGTGTGTGTGTGGGACGCCATGGGAGCTGTGCTGAGCTGGTTTGCCGCTCGCCTTTTTGCCTTGGTGCTGCACACAGCTGATGCACTGAAGCGCTGGAGAGTGAGTAAAATGTTGACATGGATTATGTGTGTGTGCGCACACTGCTTTTGAGAGGGAGAACAACCTGTTGCTTGTGACCTAAACTCCAGCTCTTAGCAACAACAATATGCAGAACATTTTGTTTCTTTTAGGAAACAGTGTCCCTCGTAAGAAGTTTCTGCCAAGACATTTTGTATATCTTATTTTTTGACTTTCGTATCTATACGGTTTTATTGGTTTCATCAAAATATGAGTGTTGTCCTATGGTTTGAATCACAAAAACATTTAGTGGCAGAAAGTCTAATGGGAATGGAGGCTAACGCTAGCAGTTTAGAAGTGGAAAATAACTTGGTGTTAACCAATGCTGCTAATTGTAGATGTGGAAATCTTGTATCGACGCCCACAGGCTATGCAATATGACATTCTCCAGTTATTAATGCTGCACAGAACTTCACAGTGTGTCTCCTTGCAACTCTGGCTCTAGTCAACAGATGTCATAGGAAACAGTCAGGCTGCTGTTTCCTCATATCGGTCCATATGCACAATAGCTAAAGTATCATCATATACAACAAATTTTAGTGTGGGAATGCAAGTGAACATATTTCATTTGCTTTACCAATTAAAACTGAAGTTATTAACATTTGACCTGCTTTAATAAATTGTGACTTAATAGAAATAGCTAAGACTAAATGCGACACAACACGACTTCAGTCGGATTTGTACCTGGCTTTAGGACTTGTTGACCTGCTGTTCTGGTTGACTGACTCTTAGTATTAAAATCAATAGTTTACATATTGCTTTCTAAAAGACAGCCTGTTCCTGTTTGAGGATCGGCTTTAAGATTCTTATAGCCTTGTGCTAAACCACCTGTTGCTCCTCTGCTGATTTCTATCTCACCCCCTTCTTCTTTCTTTCTGCCTCCACAGCCCCAGGAAGCCCTCGAACAGTCCCCCCACCCCTCTGAAGGACTAGGCTTAGAGGAGGGGGATTTGGGTGCTGACTCCCAGGAATGGTGCAATAGGGGCACAGGAGGGGGGGACACATCGGATGAGTATTGTGACTCCCGCTCACGGCACAGCGACACCCTGTCAGATTTGAGTCCGGATGGGGAGGACTCTGTGGATGCCCTGCTGGGACTGGAGGGTGCATGCCTTAGTCGGAGAGCAACGGTCAGCACCTTCCGCACTGGGCAGAGAAAAGCCAGACGGAGAGAGGTGGTGACAGCAAAAGAGGAACGCAGAGATGCACAGACAGAGACTTATGTTGGACGATTTAGATGTAGCAGGAGGAAAAGCCCAGAGAACCACGTGGAACCTAATATTCCCACGAAGCTCAGGCCTTCAGACCTGTGTCATCCGTATACAGAGGAACTAGGCGTGCAACAGGAACAGTCCACTTTACAGGCAACTCAAGTCAAGGACAGCACGGAGCCATACAGTTTACATGTACAAAGCCAACACAACACAGACACCTTTGACAAGAAGGTAAATAGTCCACCAGACACTCAGGAAGTGAAGTTGCATGCACAACCCGAAGAAAGCAACAGACTGAGTGAATCCACAGAAACATGCACGAAACACATAGATACCACGGAGGGTAGGGTTGTGGACACACAACAACAGCAGATCACACATGAGCACAACACAAGGTTACAGACAGAAAGAGAAAGATTAGAAGTCTGTAATGTTCAGGAAGTAGAGAATATTGAACTACTCGGCACTTACTCTGTAGAGAAAAATACACATTTAAGTAGATGCAGTAGTGACTGTAATGATAGACCTCACAGACACAGAGAACATGTAGAACAGCAGGGTGTAATTAATGAAGACAAAGACGTACAGGCTCTTAAAGCGCACAAAGACGAAGGGGACTTGTGTAAGAGTGTGGGCGCACATTATAATGCAACCTATAACAGAATAGAGAGTAATTGTAATGACATAACATGCATAGCTGATACACATTTTACAGATCTGAAAGATACTCAAACACTCTCTGAACCAGAGACAGACTCTCAGTTAAGTGCAAAAACTGTTGGTGCAAGTCCAAACGTCACAGAAGCACATGGCACAAAGAAAAATAGTGCATTAGAAAAGCTCACAGACACAATCAATACCGTTAATATATTGGCACACAATGTGGATGTTTGCTGTTCACGAACTGTGTGTGAGGAGAGACCGGCAGATATCCGCCCTCAGGTTTGTAATAGTGAAACAAAGCCTCAGGATAAGGCAAAGGTGTCGGGTGTCTGCCTTCATGCGGGGCAGTTTGGGCGTGCACCACCTGGGACAGTAAATGAAATATGTTCATCCATCACATTCTCTGCAGAGACCTCAAACTCTTTTACTTTGGACACCTGTTCTGCTGAATTAACCTCGGTCCCAAAGTCTTCTACTGTAGCTTCACCTGTCCAAACAGATCAAAAACCACGTCGACCAGGTCGAACCCAGGGTTTGATCCCTAATCTCTTGGATCAGGGGGTATTTACAATAGAAATACCCTCTCATAGGCAGCTCAAATCTGCGAACAAGCTTCTGGAGAAGTCACAGTCAGGCTCTGTAGAACCAGGAGCTGACTCAACTAAAATCCCATCTTACATTTGTCAGGATTCTGATGAATGTCTGCCTCATCAAACATTCTCAGAACATCTGCTGTTTTGTTCTGGCAACCAAGGAGCAGAGGAATCCTCCCGTTTGTTGTCAGAGAACTTTGGAGGAGAGAGAAGGAGGGAAGGATCACCCTGCTCGCTTCTCCACCAAAACAAGGAGCAAAAGGTGGAGGGCGGTCACGCTTATCATGAACAAATTGTTGTGGGCAGTGTCCATCTTCCACAGTTTGGCCCAACAGAGCACGTTGAGCAAAGACTAGATCCAAAAGCAACTGTCAGTGATCCAGAAGCCTGCTTTACTTTAGGAAAAACATCAACCTGTCTTGTGGCTACTGAGTCCCCTCATGATATTAGCAGAGAACACCACCGGGTCAATTCCCTAACAAACATAAAAACTACTGCCAGCACACTTTCTAGTCATTGTAATCAGCAGCTGCGTAAGATCCCTGAACCTCCCAATAGCCTGAACGCCTCTTTCTCTCTCCTCTCAGACTCCAACAATAACACCGAGGCCAGTACAAAAGGGGTCGGAAGAGGGGAGGGTTCAGTCTGTTTCTCACGGGGAGCCCACTACAAAAGTAATGAGAGAATATTTTGTCCTGTCGTTGAACCATCAATGAATGCAACCAATAACCCGTTAGGAAATGTAGCCAAGACCCAGGAACATTTTGAGGTGTTCCAGTCTTCTCTGGACTACAGAAGCAATTGCAGTAGTGAAGAGACTGAATCTGTGCTAGGGAGAAACATTTCTATCCACAGCCATTCAAGACTGGCTCATACATATGGAACTAAACCAGAGACGAGTGATGAGGGTAATACTGCCGAAAGACACGAAGGTCTTGAACCCTTAGGGTCAAGTTCAGACAGCCTATTAATGGACAGTGCATTTAGCCATCACAGATTATCTAACAGAGGAAAGGGCAGCTTATCCGAACCATTAAAGGAATATTCACCGGCTGACGGGTTTAGAGACCACACACAGGTCACATTGTCAGCTCCACAGCAGGAGGTCAGGGTGAGGTACACACACCCTGATGTCGGCCATAACCTGCTCCCTGTCAGCAGCTTAGAGCCAATTCTGGAGGCTGAGCGATCACTGGAATATTGTGGCACAGCAGAGGATGACTTTAAAATAGAAACAAAGGAAGAATATGAGCTCATGAGGCCTACAGAGGTCATGAGGCCTACAGAGGAAGTTAGGGCTCACCTTTCAGGGTTCATATCCAGTCCCCAACACCAGCCTGAAATAGAAGAAGAATCGTTTACTTCTGCTGAATCAGAACCTGACGTGAGCCCAGCAACATCTTTTCTGCATGGTAGTGGCGGACCTAAGACTTCTGCCTATGATGCTGTGTCTTACACCTCAGCTAGCAGCACCTGCGATGAGTTTGAGGATCCCGTTTCTCCTTTAGACAGAAATACCAACCATGACAAAATGACCAAGAGGAGCAAATCAAAAGGCAGCCAGGCAGGAAATAAAAGTTCTAAGTTTTCTGTATTTGCAAAAATGCCTTCTTTTAGGAAGTCTAAGGGCTCAAAAGGTGCAACAGGTGAGGAGGTAACCCCGGAGTCATCTGATTGCGGAGGCGAGGGCCTTCTGTCTGAGCAAGGGCCACATAGGGAGAACTCAGACGATGAGGTTTTCGTGAAAGGCAACGTGCTTAACCAAACAGTGTCCTCAATGCATTATGAGATGGAAGAAGAGGACTCTGGCTTTTTCCCCTCTTCTCCCCAAACTCGCCATGTACGACAGGGGAGTAATGGGGAGGGAAACGGAGGACCGAGCCCAGACAACCCCCTCCTTATGCTTGCCCAGGCCCCCAATGGGCAGACGTACAAGAGGAGCAAGAGCAATGACAGTTTAAACATCCGCATGCGCTTTGCACAAGCACACAAGTCTCTCTCCAGCCTGTTTGAGTCCCGTTCTTTGGATAAGGACAATGAGGAGCAGGCCACTGTGGGCACTGATGTGGATTCTGGTTTAGCCAAACAAACCTCGAGGAGGCTAAAAAAGGCCAGGGAGTCTGAGCTGCTGAAAAGAGCCATTTCAGTGCCAGAGGGGGAATGTACCAGCACAGCTTCTGGGCCGAGCTGTGAAGACATAACGTCTTCTCCTCTCCTGGACAGGCTCAGCAGTCCTGGGTCTCCCACATCCCCCGGAGCCCGCCGCCATACTGATCCCACCTCTAAGCAGGAAGTTTGCTGGGAAGCGAGTGGAAATGAAACCCCCCATGGCTGTAAATCTGAAGGCCAGAGAAGGAAGTTATCACCAAATGGTGAACCTACCACTGAGTCGGGCCTTCCTCTCTTTCTAGATGACTCAGCAGTCTCACAGCCAATCAGCACCAGCCCTGTCTCACCTTTAAGCTCCTCACTAGCCACCCTTACTCAGCAGATTTCACCAGCCTGGACCAAGTCCCACCCAGGGGTCAGTGAGAGTTTGACTAAAGGACCCTTACGGCCGATGAGCCCCAAACCCAACAGTCCCAGGCCGACAGCTCAGCGTAAAATCTTTAGCTACTCTCACTCAGCGAGGGCCAGTTCTGCCTGTCCTTTCCTTCTGAGCCAGTCGGTCAGCGTGGAGGGATTAACAGACCCCCCGGAGAGACCTAAGACCCTAAAACCTTCAGCTAGCCCTGTGGGGGTCAGCCTCAGCCCTGTGGACGCAGCCGAAGGCAGAATAGACAGCCAGTCACAAATCAGCTCCATTGGCTCTATCAACGAATTAGAGGTAAGAAAAGTCTGTTTGTCATGCAGATTTTTGTAACATTTGAAAAGAAATGTGTGACATCTTTATACAGAAATGTTATATAATCTAAATATATTGTGTTGCATTGTTGGAGAAGCCTGTGACCTAAGATTTTCAACGACATAATTACTCTGTAGCTATGTTAGTTTGACAATAAAGAACCTTGAACCTTAAGTACCAAGGTTTGTCTGGGGTTCAATTGTGTGTATGTGTAAAAATGCCCTTCCTTTTTAAATGTTAACGTCACTTTAAAACTGTATAGATGAACCGGTCCTTGTTAAGGTCTCAATTAAGATGCCAGTAGGGTTCCAGCTCCCTGGGAAAAGTGTCTCATCCCCGCCTCCAACACACCCTCACTAACTCTGGCTTGGAATGAATAGAAAAATAGAGCAACACCAGTTAATCTCTTACTCTGCAGACGGTGGTGTTAGTGTGTGTGGGTCTCAGGGTGGTTGCCAGTGTATCTACTAGATCTGTCAGTATCTGGGTTGGGGACAGAGAACAAGTCCTTCTTTGTGGCTCTCCACGATCTAAATGAAGAGGAGGAGAGAAACAGCAGAGTCAACTCTTTTTTCCCCCCTCAGCCCCCGAGCAGTGCGGTAGATTTCCATACTGTCAGTTACACGGTCACCATCGGCCCACCGCCCTGCCAGTTCCTACAATAGTCCTGTGATACAAAGAAAACTGGAGGACTAGCCCCACCTTGTGGCATCCTCCCACTTGAATTCAATCTAATTCACCATAGCCATGTTTAGGCTCATCCCAGTCGATGGTTATGGGCTTGGGTCACCAACTTTCTTTTTTCCAGTAATTTGGAGCTGGATATTTTATTTGGTTAAAAGTGTAGAACCCTATGAAACCGGATATTTTGGAGTCTGGATGGCACACAGAATATCTATGGAAACACATGAAGAAAATGCAGTTAAAGGAGGTGAAGGGGAATACAACTGCATATTTGAACAGCATTTTGAATTCATACATTTAATTTCATTGTTTACTTCGCCAAATGACGACACAATGCAATACGATTTTGGTTAGTTTCTCAAGATCTAGAGTTATAAGCAGCAGTTGAAAAGGTGAATGTGACTAACCAGTAAACTGTGCACTTAAAAGGGAACACCAAACAGTGGTCGCCCTCGCAGCCTGTCCAGAACAAGAAGGCTGTTGGAGGTGAAGAGCGAGGTGAAGAGTGAGGGGACGCCCTCTGTGGTTCTCAGTGGACCGAGGACAGGCTGCTGGGTGGGCGTGGTCCGTGACGGAGGTGGCCAGCACCGAAGGAGAAGTTTTTTAGACGACCACTGGATCGAAGAACAAAAGAGAAACAAACGCAAACTGGCCAGAGCCATCCGGGGGAGCCTGGGCCAGCTCCACACGCTGCTGTCTGAAGACATGGACAAAGTAAGAAGAGGCCACAGCGCCTCCAGCCGCCGAAGCAAAGATCCGAACCTTGGAAGTCTTTGTTACACTCCTCTCTTCTCCTGTTTCTGAGTTTCCGTTCCTCCTGGACAGTCTGCTCCTGTCTGATGGCTTTGTATCGTGGATATGAAGCCTATCGTCACTTTACTATCTGCTACTACATTTCCACTCTTCTGCACATTCACGCATGCCTTTTCTTTTATTCTTTTCTTACTTTTCTGCAATTTCTTGATAGTTTTTTTTTTACGGGCTCATGTCCGCCTCGCAGGTAAACAAATATTGGTGATGTGAGTGATTTGAAAGTAGTCCTCTGTTATTCCCACAGACTGATGCTGGAGAGAGCTTGGGTCCCATTGAGGCTTTCCGTGGGATGCCCCTGAAATCCCACTGCTTCTCTCAGAGCACCCCCATCGGTCTGGACTGCCTCGGCTGGAGAAGACACATCTCCTACTTCTGTAAGTACCCTCTCTGACTAAGTCCTCTGCATTTAACACTTCCTCTCCAGATTCACCTCGGGTTGGTGAATACACAGGAACATATGAAACTTGTGACATTTTGGTTACCTTATTATCTCCCCAAAAAGATGTTGGAACACATCCGCATGTGCTCCGTATTGCTTGTTTATAGATAACTGTCCATAATGTATGTGCTGTTCTTAGTGTCATATGGCAGTGCAATGTTTTGTAGTTGAGGCACAGAACCGGTGCAGTTCCTTATTCCACCTGCTGGCTGCAGTAAGCTCTCACTGTAACAATTATCAGTTACCATACAGATATAATCAATTCTAATATGCTATCAGATTCTCCTTTCTTCATACCCAACTTTTGACCAGAGAGAAGAAAGGCAACATCATTTTAGACCATATTACTGGAAATCAGGTGACATAGATATTTATGGCAGGGTGTTAAACAACTACTAAATATATCACTTGTAGTTGGATATATCTTGCCAAATGTGACTAGGCAGCAGGTCTCAAAGTGAGGTCGTGCTGCAGATGTCGTCAGTATAATTAGATTAAACTTATTTCAATTGTCTTCTGAATCATGAGACGAGTGCACGGTGGGCATGAGAATAAGACCGCACACAGAGACACTTTAATCTTTCTACGCAGTGCTATGCATTATCATTGTGAACCCCAGCAGAGCAGAACTAATCTCCACAGTGATATATCTCTTTTTTTCTCATGTAATCCTCTTTTAAGGTGGTTTCATTAGTCTGGAATCTAATACCACCCGTAGGAATGAACGCTTGATCTACAAAAATGCAGACATTCCACTGTTAGGTCAGCACTGTTAGCCTCGGGAGCATAGCTTTAGATTTAGCCGATCATTGAGCGTGACTCCACTATGACAAGGCTTCATGTGCAACGCTGGCTTTGGACCGCATATTATATATACTGCGGATAAAGTTGTATTGTAACGGTTCAACTATAGTTGCTGGGGTGCCAGTCAGGTCAGACCTGACAATTTATAGTTAAGATCAAGTCAAACCCTACAACGGGTACATGCCCCTCTTAACCAGTACAATATTTCTGTATTTTCAATAGTAAATTAACACCTTTGAAGAAAAACACAACACATCAATATATTATATACTATATACTATATTCAATAGTTCAAGAACAGTGAGTCCCATGTGAATGAAAAAGTATAATCCATATAGTTCATGAAAAATAGTCCAACAAAAACAATAGTCCACATAGCGTATTAGTTTCAGTTCAGTTCACCAACCACTGAAAACACAAATCGTTTAACTTCCCCCTACACGACACTTTCAGATTACGAGCCCTTTTCAAAATATATATTCTGTTTTTTTGTGTCATATGCTTGATCTACAAAAATGCAGACATTCCACTGTTAGGCTGGTCAGCACTGTTAGCCTCGAGTGCATAGCTTTAGATTTAGCCGATCATTGAGATTATTTGTCAAGAATTGGGGATCATGCAGAATATACTGTCAATGGTATTTCTTTGCAAGAAAGTAGGTCCAGGTTCTGTGCATTTTCCAAACTAACACAGTTTATACAAATTGATTAAACCTCCCGTGTATTGGGATGGAGACAGACATTCTTGATAAGCATAATTAAAATAAAATGTCAATATTTAATTGTACCGCCTCTTGAAGCTGATTGAAGGCTAATATACTTAATTTAAAACATTTGTTGGTGAAGCCTCTGAGTGTGTCACAACATTTGCTTCAAATGGCTGGTGTCATTTATCTGTTTAATCATCATTATATATATTATCCTGTAGATTCAGCATGTTAAACAGCATTTACATAATACATTTATTAATATATTCGTCAATCATGAAAGTCCCAGAGCCAACATGGATGAAAATAACCAGAAACATAATCTGAAAATCTGCTCTGTAACTCACTGTAGAATTGAAAACCAATAGAGACTGTGCAGTGTGTGTATAGTGTGTGTGTGTTTGTTGTTGTGTGTTCGGGAGGGTGAGGGAAGGGGGGAGGAGTGAGCGAGGGAGAGGGCTGGCTGTTTTCATCTCCACCTTAGTGGATACTGCACCATTAGTGAGCCGTTTACGCTGCAGGAACCCCCCTGAAGGACCCCCACTGATGTCAGCCTGGAGAGAGGGAGCGAGAGAGAGAGAGGCTGTCGTTGCATGAGAGCGATCCAGAGCAGAGAGGTGGAGGAGAGCAGCGCTGCTACAGCCGGCTGTGAATGGGAGGAGGAAGCAGCAAGTTGACAGCTGAAGCTTACCTCAGCGTATAGTGCCGCAGATATCCTCCGCCTCCCCTTCCTCCTCTGCGCTCTCGCCCTGGGGATAAACCACCTGCTCAGCCTGTCTTGCCTCTTCTTCATTCCCACTTACTTCTTCACTGCCCACTGCCGTCTCCCCCCTTGTTGTCGTCCACCCTGATTGGGATGCGGACCCAGCAGGGCTCTGGAGGGGGCGTGCCCCTGCCCGGGGGCAGCTGTGGCAGCAGCGGCAGCTTGGGGCTGTCTCCGGGCTCCGACTCGGACGGAGGGAGCCCCACAGCCGGGGTGGTGGACAGCATGTTGGACGCAGAGCTCGGGGTGGGTGGATGTATGGGTGGACGCGGAGGTAGCTTGGGTGGAACTCTGAGGGGGGTCCTGTCTCGCTATTGGAGCTTGGAGAGCCTGCACTCCACCACAGGTAAGTGCCTGATGCAGACCCCTCTGGAAATCCCTCAATTCCTCTGAGCGTTGTAATCTGTCATCACATATAAAGTCTCTTTTATCATACACATGATGAGACCACACATGCTCACAAGCAGACTGGCACACTGCCATGGGGAGAGTGTGTTGTTCAAGGTTGGACTGGATGTACCCTGTGTGTTTTTGTGTGTGCGTGTGAGCGTCATGCCAGCCGTTGAGCTGACACTCTGTCAACGAGGGGCTATGTTGACGTGTTTGGGTGGGCCTTGGCTTTCTAGGAATGCAGAGAGAGCCAGAAAACACCATCAGTCTTATGGTCTTGCTTACTGATTTCAGTCTGTGTATTTCTCTGCTAAACACACAGCTCATAGATTGTGTGTGTGCACTCGAGGTGGCCTTCAGATTGAACATGCAATCTGATTCTCCACCCTCAACTCTCTCGGGCTTAGGTATCATTATACGTTTTTCAAAAATCAGTGCTTAGAAAACCTTGTTTCGGATCATTTGACTGTTATTTTTTGAAAATGACAGCACATGACAGGAGAAAGAATGACAGGCAAAGTGTCAATGAGTCAAACCATCAATGGTGATCGCATGGCCAGTGTTTGTATCTTTTGCAGACACTTAATATCTGTAGACAATGAAAAGAATGTAGTATATGCAGGTTTTCTTAATACTGTATTCAGGGTATGTGTTGCTGTCCAGGCAGTGGGGATTACACTTTTTTTCTTGGTCTTCTATGTGCTTCTAGAAAGATGCAATGTAGGAAATGTCATATTGTAAGATTTGGAATATTGCAATTTTTGGCTGTGGTTTTAGTTTCAATCTTTGCTCACGAACACTAGCTGCAGGCTTGTTAGTGTTGTAATGTCTTGTAACAATGTATATGTCCTTGTCTCAAGCCCTCTTATTTACACACATCTCAAAATTGACGTGCAAATGGGGCTTTCGCTCACCGCCTGCCTATATTTCTGTTGTCATGGAACTGCATTTACCGTAGCTCTGCTGAAGAAGGACCAAACACTCAGGTGTGTGTGTGTGTGTGTGTGTGTGTGTGTGTGTGTGTGTGTGTGTGTGTGTGTGTGTTACCTGGTTGTAGTTGTGTGTGTGTGTGTGTGTGTGTGTGTGTGTGTGTGTGTGTGTGTGTGTGTGTGTGTGTGTGTGTGTGTGTGTGTGTGTGTGTGTGTGTGTGTGTGTGTGCGCGCGCATCATTGAACAATGGATGAATTTGATTCTGAACTATATGACATGCATCACACACCGAACCACCCTAAAGACCATTGAGAATCCATATTGCACAACATGTTCTGTCCATTGTCTGACAATATTCAATATACTGTAGTCGAACTCGTCAAAGCACAAGTGCCGTCTAAAGAGCTGGGAGCAATTATCTCTGCTTAATGGCGTTGTTGTCTCCAAACAGCCCATTACGTGGTGTCGGAGCGGCGTGCTGCGTTCCATAAAAGATAGAAAGCTGTAGAGGGGCGCATGATGTCATGCAGCAACTGAAGAGAAAGGTTTTCCCACAAAAATCAATATTCCTCAGTGTTTTTCCACTGAATAACGATTGATTAAACAGTCAATTAGAACTGAAATGTTTGGTGTTTATTTTTAAATTCTCGCATAATGTCCATGATTTATGATAAATAATAGCATTTAGTGTTTATGTTGGGACGTAAGTTAATTATCTGACACCTGTGCTTGGTAGAGCCGATGTGGAGTCCTTTCAGTGTTCATGCACTGTTTAATGTTGTGAGCCTTATAATTGTAGGAAATATTGAAGTCAGTGCTTTGTGTTAACATATTTGTAATAATTAGCAAGGCTTGGTTTGCCCAATACTCTGGTTTTTGAATAATTACCTACACAACTTACATTAGTGTAAATGTTGCCTTAATTAAAAAGAACAACACAATTAATTTCATAGTTTATAGTTCAAACTATTTCTACGTTCTCTGTAATTATCCAGGGATGGCATGATTTAATACAGTTGGTTTTATATGTTAAACCAATAAGTGTTTGTTGTTTCCTGTGCCTAGGAACTCATGTTTGTTCATGTACTGGTACTGCGTGTTTTGTGGATGCACTGGACAACTCAACGTGGGTTGACTTCTTTATTTGAAGCTCTGCTGAAGTCTGTGACAAAGTTATAATTTGACAAGGTTATACGGAAAAGGAACTTTAAAGATGAATCTCCTTTCTCGTTTTCATATGTCCTATTTTCATTCATATATGTGTAGCACAATATGCTAATATGTTTACGTGTTATTCGTTGTTATAGTTTTCTCACGGCGTAACTGAAGAGGGGAGGCTACAAGATGAAAAGTCCAAGAAATGAACGCCCGTTTTAAAGAGCCGATCTGTGTCTGTGTCGTGAAGAGAGCTACAATTAGCCTCTCTTGCACTTTGTGTTTAATGATTAATATCTAAAATAAGCATTTTTAGATGAAAAAGGTTAAATGGTGACTGCTATAAACATTATACCTACCATGTCAACATTGTCATTGTGAGCGTTAAGTGGGGTGTGGCGGAAAACTCTTTGGTCACTTCATTTTGACCAACACTATTATATATACGTCCTTCTTTTCATGACCTTTGACCCTCCTCAGTGTGAGGCACATATACAGAATGAATGCAGCATTCAAACTTGATTTATCATACATGTAATAGTCAACAGCCTCCCTGTTGCTAGCTTGGCAGCGACTGTACTACGCAGCAAGCTACAATTATTTCTCTTTGTTGGAGAAGAGGAAGAAAAGAGTGCTTTGCGTTCTCGGCTCGCTCATTGGCAGGCGGATAGTGAGAAGTCTCTCCCTTTAAATAGATTTCCTTCTGACGGCCCGGGCTGAGAAGAACTGAGGCTGAAACTCTCTTGTTCTTTCTGCGATTCCCTTCATCCCGTCCATCGCTCTCGCTCTGCCCATCACCGAAGGGCAGAGCAGGTTTGGCACGAGCTCCCCGGTACAGCTGCCAACACACTGGATGCTCACACTGCTGATTGACAGGCAGGCAGAGACAGGATCATGGGTGTTCGGGAGGAAGGAGGGAGACAAGTCCACAAACATCTATAGCTGCCATCACTTCAGATCAGATGGTGCTTTCGTACAGCCACGCCTGATTCAAAGCAGAAAGAAAAGCTAATACAAACATTCACTAGCGTTGTTTGTAAGAAATAGTACACACTTTTTTATATTTTCAAATCCCTATAGTCTTGTGCAGATGCAACTGAATGAATCAAGTAACATCTCCCCATGTGCTACGACACCACAGAGGTGTAAGAGTGGCAGTTTACACCTTGTAATTGGTGTTCCAGAGGCTTTTAACACGGACAAAATAGACCTCTACTCTTTAGTCAAACACACTATGACTAACAAAGAGAGATGGATGATACCTGCATATTTGACTTGGACTCTATTGTTACGTCCTCTGTAATTATCCAGGGATATTTCACCGGAATTATATTAAAAAGTTGTATTATGATAAAACTAATCATTAAGCATTTGAATTAGTTTGAAGATTGTTTGAGTGTCATGTGTCCAATCTGATATATCTTCCTTTTCCCCAATACATCAATGGAATTCAGTTTGTGTTGCTAAGAACATTACATTTTTTATTGGAACTATCTCTCTGCTATAAAATCTGCCTTTGAGGTCTGTTATACCTCAAAACCAATGCAAACCAAGCTCTAGAGGTAATAAGCATTTAATGTATTCAAAGATCACACTAGAGCTAACAGATAAACATTTAATTAATGTTAGACAACTTTAGAAGTGGTTGTGGTTTGTCAGGGTGCTGAAGTATACATGACACTACATGAGCAACCCGGCTGCTTCCATAAATATCTCAACATACACATGCTGTGGTTTAGGCTGCGTTGCCTCTGGCGATGTAATGCTTCTGCATGTCTTAGTACAGTACATTTCCAGGGGGAGAATACCCTTTTAGTGTACTACACTGTATGCCCTTCTCCCCTGTGCTTCCTTGTACATTATGTAATGTCTTTTCTGAGTGATCTGCATTTGTCTCTGCTGCATAAAGAAAACTGGCTTCTCCATTCTGACAGGTGATTTGTCCAATTTGAGTTTCTTCGCTTGTACTTGTTTCACTGTGGCATTCGCTCTATTTCCGAGAGCTATCAGGAACGTTTTCACTTCTTCCATTGCCTTAAAGGTGGGGTAGGTAAGTTTGAGAAACCGGCTCGAGATACAGTTTTCGTTATATTCCATGGAATGCTCTTAACATCCCGATAGCAATGAATATCTGAAGTGCTTTGACAAAAAATACATAGAGAAATATCATCTGTGGAAGAAGCCGTAGCGCTGTAAAAAGCACGACCAATCATCTGAGCCGGCCCGGCTAAAGTAACTGGATGGCCTACCTGCCTGTCAGCCTTCCATCTGTGCACAAACTGATCTCGTGCCCTCATTGGTCATGTGTGCGTTCGTGTGTGTTGGAGGAGGGGCTCTGTGAGGAAGTGGCAGATTTTCTCCGGTTGTGTATTTTCAAATTCTAGCGCACTCGAGCTGGTTTCTCCGAAATTACCTACCCCACCTTTAATTGTCTACCCCGTCAAAAGTCAACACCTCGTTGATTCTCAGTAACTTATTTCAGCTCCCATTGCCTTCTCCCTCCTTTAATATATTGCAAAGAAACAGGTACATCTTTTGAGTGTGTCTCTTCATGCAGATTCCTTCTACCAAAAGTCTCTTTCTGTTTGTTTTCTCGTCCTTAGTTGCCCTCCAGACCCTGCTTCAGTTACACTAGTATTGATAAAACATGAACTCTGGTTTATTGCTTGTCCCGGGTCAGCTGAAGTGGCTGACTTCTCAAGAAATACAGATAAATGTCAGTATCGCTATCATGTATTCCTAAGTGCTCCCTTTCTGCCAGCAGCAAGGGCAGCTAAGGTTAAATTCTTTCTCAAGTTTTCAGTAACATGCTCTTCCTGTCTGCACATTCTGTGCTACCTCCTCTGCGAACCCTTCTGATAGGCTTATCTTATCATAGCTGCTCAGGCCTACCACCCTGCGAAAGAGGGATGGTTTGAGTTGTCTTCTCAAGCTGTGTGTGCAGAGGCTTTCTATCCTTGTCAGACACTTTTTTGTTTACAACGGAAGAATCTTCTGGAAATGATGGCCTTGTTTGTACAAAGTGTCGTCTGACTACATCTAAATGCAACAAAAGTGAGGTTTAAAGCGCTCTGTTAGCTCAGATACAATCAGTCTTACAAATGGTTACTGTCTGGAAACGTCAGACAGCCTCTCCACATACGCATTGGGTGAGGAATGCAACAAAAGAGCTGGAGAGAGAATCTGCAAGTCTGCCTTATAAAGGGACTGTGATTCAGCGCTTCAGTCCATTTCATGTTGGGTCGCTTTGCAAATGATTTAGTGTTAGAAGCTTGCCCTTTTGCAGTTCGCCCTGTCTACATTGAGCACAGCTTTTTCTTAATATTTATGTATTGTTTGGCCACGTTCGGCTGATCCCTCACACACATGTTATTACTCTCAAGCCGCCTTTGAGAGTGCTGGGTCTTAAAGATAAGACCTCGGTCCTGTCAGACTCCAGAAATCACACTTTGAGGTTCTGAAACCTGAGCCAGGAGTCACTGACGTTTCCAAGGAGTGTGAGTTTGTCATAGACTGTTGTTTGTGTTTCAACACCGAGAAGCCATTCGTTTTAAGACTCGAAGAAGCACGGTCATGGTCAGTTAACCCTCCATCAGAAAAACAAGTTATAAAATCTATTATTTATGTTCTTCATGAGTTTCCAATTTGCTGCTTCAGTTCCGTATTGGTTCGGTAATGTCATAACGAAGCTGTTATGGCGAATATGGAGTTTTTCCCCGCCTTAAGTCTTTCACTTTGGCAGCCAGAAGGAGCCATCGATGTTGGAGATTCCTGAAGAGAGCTCTCGTCTACCTTACCTTCCTCCTCTTGTCCTTTATTCGCCCATCCCCCCTCTCCCACTCCTCATCTCCATCCCTGCCTCCCCCATTCCTCTGGTAATAATGCAGGCGAAGGTGTGAGGCGGCGGCAGTAGGAGGCGGAGGGATATCGAGGTTCATACAGTAGTGTGTGTCAGCTCCCATTCAGTGTGTGTGTGTGTGTCCTTGTACAGTGTGTAGCGTTCATATACTGGCCATGTACGGCACAGAGCCAGAGGAGGAACAGATCCCGTCACTTCTCTGCACGCACTTCTCTAAACCTCCCCCTCCTCGGTCTATCGTCCCCACTCTTTCTTCCACTCTGTCATTTTCCCTTCACTTCACTTGTTCAGAGGCTGTAAGTCCTCATCAGAGAAGATCAGCTGGGAGCCCACGGTCCTCTGTGTGTAGTGCAGTGATGGCAGGCTGTAAACTTGGCTCTGATCCCTCTTGGGGAGGATGTGCGCCTTCAAGAAATCAATGTTTATGAATATGAGACTTAATAATAAGACATAATTGACATATGTCCCCCAAATGTAATAATTATTTGTTGAAAAGTTACTGAGCCTCTGCTGTACATTCAAGTAAAGTACATCTGGGATTATTTCCATGTATGGGCACTTATCCATCTTCTGGTAAATATTGCCGTCATTCTCTTTTACTGAAAGTGTGCAAAAGTCAGATTTGAAACACATCTCCCAGCTAGCAGATTGCATATTTCTTAAACAATACTAATTTGGATTTTTTACATAATATTGATCATATAGCAAACAGGAAAATAATGTGTAAAGTGAGCTAATTCTCTTTCTGATTTTTTTGTGTGTTGACAAAATTGATCTGAATGTAATATTTCCAACGCACAGATCTATAGGTTGATGACAGTCAGCTTTAGAGAATGTCGTTAGGTCTCTAAACACTATCGACAATTTGCCTTTTATGCATCATTATCTAACTCCATTCTCTTGTCTTAAGTTGATAATCGGACTGTAAACGGCTCACACAAGACATATTCTCATCAGTTATGAAGATATTTGCTGGATACAATGGTACCTCAGAAATACATATAGAGGCTAAACTGCTACCAGACCTATAGCTGGTTTTGAGATTGTTTGTAAGGAAGCTGCTGGTTACATCAGGAAGTGAGGTACGGTGCATATATAAGCCATTGGAGAGATAAACCTCTGTTTGGAAAGCTGATCTGCTTCAGGAGATAATGCTATTCACTGGCTTTAATTACTCTCCTTTGGCCATTTAATCTCACACACACACACACACACACACACACACACACACACACACACACACACACACACACACACACATACACATACACATAGACACACACACAAATGAAATCCGCTCCACCCTGATAACCTGGCCGCCGGTGTTGGTGCCAGGTCCTAAACTCCATCCTGCTCCGCTCGTCTATGTCATCATCCTCTCTCATAATGCCAGCACACACACAGTAAGCCTCACATGACACACACACAGTTTCACCTCTGTGCTTCCCCCCTCACCCATGTTCCCTTAGTCACTGCGTTTTGGAACAACGTAGCTGTTTTGGAACCCTGTTCACCATTTACTGATTTCATTCAAACTGTATACAGAGCAGGTTAATACTAATGCACTGGGCAGCAGATCAGATCCACGCTGAGCCAGCATAGCTCTCATGCTGGCTCTCTCCCCTCTCTCTCTCCCCTCTCTCCCCTCTCTCTCCCCTCTCCTCCCTCTCTTCCCTCTCTCTCTCCCCTCTCCTCCCTCTCTTCCCTCTCTCTCCCCTCTCTCTCCTCTCTCTCCTCTCTCCCTTCTCTCTCCTCTCTCTCTCCTCTCTCTCCCCTCTCT